CCACGGGTATCGAAACCCGGTTTCTAGCGTTGTAAATCCGCAGACATACCGCTGGGGAGCTCTTTATGCAACAACATTTCGCATTGGTTTCCAAGAGCAATACATTACTTGTAGAATCGTTCAAACATTAAAATTCTGGGTTTTCACCCTCCTTTACGACTATTAAATATGATAATTGTTCGATAATAAGTAATGAAATTACTTCATTTTACTCTTAAAGGCTAGATCATATAATTATGCTCATGTCAGAGAGAGTAATGTATAGATACAGTAGATAAATGTAGAATTATGTTTAAATCGATTATTTTAATATTTGCATGAAAGTTATTGTTTATTGCTGGAAGTTCGTTCATTATCCACTTGTCTAGCTTAATTGAAACTTTCATGTGCTTCTCATTGTTGCTTTGCTAAATGTTCACAAGCGCTCAGACCACTAAACACATGAATATGTGTATATAATAATAAAAACCACCAACAAATCATAGACTTAAGAAAAGCCTGGACGTAATAAATCACAACTGAAATATATTCATTGAGTTAGAAGGGTGTTCGTGGAAATACTGACCTACCGTGAAGTTTAGAACATAGTGTCACCAGAAAGGTGATTTATTAAAAACCACGGGGGAACTCCACCCTTATCAGCAGTATAGAGCTGCTGAGCTCAAAAAGGCACGTGTACAGGTAAATAGAGCTTTCAAAGGAACATTTTGTTACTATATCTTTAAGGCAGCGACTTCAATATGCATTAGTTCACGTACAAAAATGTTTAGCCTAATTAAGATAATATTGTATATTAGTACAAACTTATGATGTGCCACGAATGCAACCACCCACCTATAAGCCTCCTCTTTCATCTCCTTGATAACGTTATAATTGGAAGCTTAAAGGATCTGGGTAGTTTTCTGGTTCAGTGTTTCGAAGAAGGTTTAATTAAGAACCGATTAAAGAGAAAGTCACATTAAACATTCCACAGAAAAATGTCTCTCTGCTTTTATAAAATAAAAGTTCACCACATAGGCTTCTCGTGGCCTGGTGGTTAGGGCGATAGACTCGAGGTCTGTAGATCGCGGGTTCTAATCTCGTTACCTAACATGCTCGCCCGTCTAAGTATGTGAGCGGTTATAATGTGACGGTCAATCCCACTTTTCATTGGAAAAGAGTAGCCCAAGAGTTGACGATGGTGGTATTGACTAGTTACTGTCCTTCTGGTCTATCACTTCTAAATCGGGTATGGCTAGCGCAGATAGCCCACGAATAGGTTTAGAGAATAATGATATAGCATTGTATTTAATCATAAAGAAAACACCACAAGCATGTTAAGTATAACCCAGTTAAATTAAAACAAAAGGTTTTGTAATCAGTCCTGATTAAACAATTAAACTGTTTTATATCATTTTAACATGTATAAAATTAAGTTAACTGTTTTTATATGGATGTATCCATGAAAATGTCTTACTTCCTTCGACATTCTATAAGATTGGACTTAAGCGTGAGAACATAAAGCAAAAGACTTTTAAATGACACCTGATGATTACAGTTAGCCACTGTACTTACTTGTAGGTGTGATGGCCTTAAATGTTGTAAGGTAGGCTTTACGATCGTGAACGAGGGTAATTTTTCGTGATCAATGGTTTGAGATTACGTTGCTCTAACATTCGATGGCCTTACTGGTTCTCTATCACTCAGAGGCTGACTTCAAGATGTAAATTTTACTGCATGGAAGCACAAACTGACTATATATTTACACACTTCTACAAACGTAGAACCAATAGAGTGACCGTTTTATACTGGTAGAGTTTTTCTTTTGGTTTTGCTTTTGGAGAGAAAACCAAAAGCAAGAACGTAAAATGATTAAGCAAGAAAACTAACTGGCTAAAAATCATCCATATTTGAATTATTTTGCCTCAGAAAGATTGTTCTTCTTTTATTGTTAGTTTAAACTATAATTCTTAGTTTTTACTGGTTAATATTACTTGTATGCGTGTCCTTCTTTCAGTGTTAGTTTAAACTATAATTCCTAGTTTTACTGGTTAATATTACTTGTATGCTTGTCCTTCTTTTAGTGTTAGTTTAAACTATAATTCTTGGTTTTACTGTTTAATATTACTTGTATGCTTGTCCTTTTATTGTTAGTTTAAACTATAATTCTTAGTTTTACTGTTTAATATTACTTGTATGCTTGTCCTTCTTTTATTGTTAGTTTAAACTATAATTCTTAGTTTTACTGTTTAATATTACTTGTATGCTTGTCCTTCTTTTATTGTTAGTTTAAACTATAATTCTTAGTTTTACTGTTTAATATTACTTGTATGCTTGTCCTTCTTTTATTGTTAGTTTAAACTATGGCCTGGTGGTTAGGGAGCTCGACTCGCAATCTGCGGGTCGCGGGTTCGAATCCCCGTCCCACCAAACATGCTCGCCTATTCAACCGTCGGGGCGTTATAATGTGACAATCAATCCCACTATTCGTTGATAAAAGAGTAGCCCAAGGCGGTTGGTGGTGATGACTAGCTGCCTTCCCTCTAGTCTTACACTGCTAAATTAGGGACGGCTAGCGCAGATGGCCCTCGTGTAGCTTTGCACGAAATCCAAAAAAACAAACAGGTTAAGCTATAAGTCTTGGTTTTACTGTTTGGTATTATTTGTAAGTTTGTCCTTTTTTCAGTGTTAGTTTAAACTGTAACTTATGGTTTTACTGTTTAATTTTATTTGTAAGATTGTCCTTCTTTTATTGTTAGTTTAATCAATAATTCTTGGTTTTACTGTTTAGTATTATTTGTAAGTTTGTCCTTATTTTATTGTTAGGTTAAACTGTACGTCTAGATCTTATTGTTTATTAGTGTTGTTGAACTTTCTATGGGGCAGGTATATAAATCCAGAGTCTATACAAAAGCAACATTAGCATCATGAGTAGATTTGTGTGGTCCGTGTTTAGGTATAAATTCCCATAGAGTGCACATTTCAACGAAAGAGTTTGGAGGATATATTACCCTAAATTAACAGTAACACGTAATGCATTTCTTTTATAATTGCACATCTTTCAAATGGATATCGTATAAAAGTTTTAAAAACAAAACAGAAAAAAAAAAAAGTTTTCAAATGTAGGCAACATTGGCATCAACACGTCTGTAATGATTTCTAGCCGTGATTATAATACGTAGTGTTTTTGTTATATCTGTACGTCTATTTGTCACTCGACAAATAAGTGCATTGATTGGAAAGGATTTTCGCATTCATATTTTTTCCTACCGAAAACTGAAACAACGACTTAAAGGCAGGGATATAAAAAAAAAAAGATAAGAATGAAAGGAAGGTTGATAAGGAGATCTTGGTCGTGTGAACTAACGTTAACATTGGATAAAGGCTGGCTGGTAAAATATTGATTAACGTAGAAATGGTGGTTGGCAACAGGAAAGTCTTATAGCACAGAGAGAACTGAAATTGACATGTGAAAAGCACAGCAAAAAAACAGCTGCTTTAACACATTGGTATTGCATCTCTGTCGGAATCTCAGCTTGAACTTGGCCTTTTAAACGAGCCGCTATTCATTCATTTGTTTATACACTAAATAATGGATACAATCGCTGCATTTAAATCGAAATAAAACCTCGTACGACACCATAAAAAACTACGAATCGGAGACTGTATTAAGGTTGTTTGAGAAGGTTTGATATACGTTGAAGCTACTGATATAGCAATGATAAAATTGATGGATTTATCATAATCATTTGAATATGTTCAATTTCTTTACATAAGAATATTACTTCTAATAAGTCGATGTAAAATGTAACTCAATAATAAGCAATTTGGTAATATATATATAAATGGTTAACGTACTTATCCTATGCATTTATTATAATTGAAAGTTTAATATCTTTTATGGATTTTCAGAACGTTTTTGTATTATGTGTACTATGGATTTTTCCTTTCCTCTTACAGATTTCGAGATATACTTCTGAAGATCGTTGCCGTCGAATCTATCCCGATACAAAATATGACAAATTTTATAATATCAAATATTTTCTAATGATGTACTTTTCTACACCTACCATCTTCTGCAATGACTCCAACCATTTCTTGGAGCCTTTTCTTAGTTGTTCTCTCGGTGTTTTTATATCCTCATCCCTACCACTGTATTACGGAATGTGTTGAGGGGTGTATGTGTAAATGGAAAAACGGAAAACAAACAGCAGAGTGCGCTGATTCACAGCTTACCAGCATCCCCGCTGGTCTCAATACCGGAACTCAAGTGTTGGATCTAAGTGGTAACCTATTACAGACATTGTCCAGCAAGGTCTTTCAGTCCGTCGGACTGGTCAATTTACAGAAGGTATTCTTAGCCCGCTGCGGACTATCTGAAATCGCAAACGATGCTTTTTATCACGTGTCTAATCTAATTGAATTAGATTTGAGCGAAAATTTCTTAAATTGGGTTCCCTTCGATGCTCTCAGAGATTGTTCACTACTTCGTCGCCTCCAGCTCACGAACAATCCTATTCAACTCATACAAAATAACACTTTTTCAGGCTTAATCCATCTTACCAGTCTAGAAATGAGCAACTGTCGAATCTACACCGTTGAGCCGAATGCATTCAGTGGACTTAAAAACTTAGAGTATCTTCGTTTAGACGGGAACAAACTTTCATTTCTCTCAGGTAAAGTAGTTAAGGATCTCCCTAACTTACATACTTTGGATCTGTACAACAATCCGTGGGTGTGTGACTGTCGAATAAGTAAGTTAAGAAAATGGATGGTATCTCAGAACGTAGCAATCTCCACCCCTCCACGTTGTGAGCAACCGCCGAGGGTTCAAGGCCTAACATGGGACATCATGAGTATTGACGATTTTGCCTGTCCACCAAATGTGATTGGAGTGGATACAAAGATATCCATCATGGAAGGAAGAAACGCTACATTAAGATGTAAAATCCGTGCCGTTCCAACTGCTACAATAAACTGGCTATGGCAAGGAAGAATTATTACGAACCTTTCTTTGATGTCTTTCGGACAGCAGATGTATCTTATTCAGGAGGAAGGCAAGGATTTCAAAGAAAGCATCTTGACGATTATTAACGTGATGGTTAAAGATAGCGGTCGTTATATTTGTGCAGCATCCAACCATGCCGGTAATGTGACAGTGAATGTGTCGGTGGAAGTTAGTCCCCGGATAAATATCGACACGTCATTAAGTGGCGGCGAGATAGCTGGAATTGTGATTGGATTATTTCTGGTGATCTCTCTTCTCTTTGTTGTTGTGTGCTTTCTTGCTCTTTATCGCCGTAGAAATCCATCAGATGAGCGGAAAAGCATCGGGGTTAATTTGTACAAGAATTTTGATTCGGTAAAACAGAATCACGTAGAACTAACAGCGTTAAATAACGAAGGGCCCGAGGACGAAAAACCCGTTCAAAGCAAACAAAAACGAGGAAACAGCGGCTACTTCTCGGATGCCACAACGAGCATGCCATCCCAGGTTGACCACGACGACGCTAGTAGCTCTTCAACTGTGCTTATCAAACCGGACACTATTATGACCACTGTAGGAGGTCATCCATCGGATGTCCATCTGTGTAGCCCCGTTTCGGCACAAGAACCACGTGATTCTGACGTATGGAGGTATGCCTTACGCGAGGAAGGAGATGGAAGCTCTTTCAGTGCCAATGAAACCGATGAAACCGATCAGTGTGAGAACGTGTTGTCCCCATCGAAACAAGATTCCGCACTGAATCCCTTCAATGAGGACAATTTCCAGACGCACAATGACAGAACTCTGCCAAAAGACTGTACAGGTGGTGGCGAGTGCCACCAGAATATAGGTCCGCCACCTCACGGCAGTTTCGCTCATTACCTTTTGAAGCCAAACCATTTTCATCTGGACCTGTCCTCTGAAGCACGAGATTCTCCAGACGAAGGATTAGGAGATGAGCGTGAATATGAAACTGATATTTTGGAGTAAACCTTAAGATCTACATAAAACGAAGGAGGCTATGTGTTATTCTAAGTTTGAGCTATTACTAAGTTTTGTCACCCAGCTAAACAAAAGTGTTTTAAGTGTTGTTGTTTTTTCTGACTGTCAATGGAATAAATAGAAACCTTCCGGCTCCTGGATAACTATCCGCCAGTCAGTCCTGCAGGTAATTTCAATTAGTTTCATTTGGCATAAATTATACAGCGCAAAGTAAATTCTGTACCTTTATGATGTGTATCGTAACAGTAGTAGTTTGATATTTGTAACTCTATATTAAACAAGGAAGAATACCTTAAGCCTTAATATTGGAATAGCTACGACTTTCTTGTGTACGCTAAAAGACTATGAATATATACATATATATGTACTGCTGTTGTACGTTATTTATGAATGTTGATATTGTGAAAAGAAAAACTCAGATCTTCCGATGGGTTTTGTTGAAAGTACAAGTAAAATATGTTTACATTCATGTTTGTGTAAAGTGATCATTTCAATTTAATATACGAAGAACTTATCTTCTAACTCGTTACATTATTTGTATTTCTTTCGACTCGAACAAGAGCTTTTGTTTTATTATATTGTAATTCTCAGTATTCTTTAAAGGTGTCAGCTTGTTTCAGAACGAAACGTTAATTTTCCACTTCTTTATATACCTTCACACGTCACGAAACTCAAGTGTGCTGTTGAGAACGGATCGAGTAAGGATGAATATAAGCCAAGAAACACAAAGTTTTTCACTACAAGAACTGGTCCACATTTTACGTTTTCTGTTAAAAGGTTGTTTAAAGGACATTCAAACTTATCTGACATAGTTTGGCTATTTGTTAGGATGAGGGCCACATTTTACGTTTAAAAGTGGAACATTTCTTTTTATTAAAAGGTGTTTAAAGGACATTCAAAACTTATCTGACATAGTTTGGCTATTTGTTAGGATGAGGGCCACATTTTACGTTTAAAAGTGGAACATTTCTTTTTATTAAAAGGTGTTTAAAGGACATTCAAAACTTATCTGACATAGTTTGGCTATTTGTTAGGATGATGTAACAAATAATAACTGTACACTCCAAGTACACTTCAAAGTATAGAAACACTTTTGTATTCTTGTTGCATAATGAAAACAGTCTTTTGGGAAACGTTATTGTTCCATTAATATACACTGCTCAAATAATTAAAAGCTAATTGGAATTTATAATATTTTGCCTATGATAAGCCAATACCACTGTTGTAAAATAATGTTTATCATCCCCCCATCAGTTCACTTTTAGCCAAAGGAATAATGTAATTATTCATATACTTCATGCTAATAAGTTCATATTCTTGAATACACTTTTGATACTGTTGATATTATATCTCTAAAGTTTATGACATTTCACCTCATTATGGAATTTGGTCACTTGGCACTTACGTCACATGTTAAAAATCAAAGTGTTGCCGAGGCCCTAAGGCATCGTCGACCACTTCTCTGAAGTACCTGTTTCCATGGCATCTTTATAGATTCAAACCAGTTGACAAAAGCTATGCGTTTTTCAAGAGCATTCCATATATACTCAATCGGACTGAAATCCACTTATCATGCAAGCCAATTCATTCGATCAAATCTCTCCTCCTATTGGTCAGTTTAGAACAGTTGAGTGTAAGCTATCATCTATTAGCCTAATTTCAGTCTCATTGCACCAGCATTTAGTAGCAAAAAAAAAATGCAGTAATTTTCGTCTTTATAGTGTCTCATTATTGGTATCATTCCGTTGTATGTAGAAGCTTGTACGTTTACTAGTACTTATTTTTTCCATACAATCGCATGAAAATGGGCTGGTTCTTTCTCCACATTTTATCCAAGTGGGTATACGCCTGCTAGCTGGTTGCAGGGTAAAGCATGGCCTCTCGGCAAAACGTTTATTACTTCACATGTTGCTGGTTCATTGAACTAGTTTTAGGTGTTATCGGTATTATATCCTGATGTGAGCAGAATACTGCTGATTGAACATCTGACATACAGACTGGACTTATGAATTCTTTTTCTAACCGTCTATACATTGACTGCAAAAATCTGATTCAGTCTCAAAAAAAAAAGAACCATATGATTGCATTGAGTCAGAATTTAAAGATAACAGTGAAGATTGTCCTTGTTAAAAGCCTCCCATTGGCGCAGCGATGTGTCTGCGGACTTACAAGGCTAGAATCCGGGTTTCGATACTCGTGGTGAACAGACCACAGATAGTCCACTGTGTTGCTTTGTGCTTAAATTCAAATAAACACAAATCCTTGTTAAAGTATCCTTACAACTGTTTCAGTGGTATGGATGCGATTCCACATTCTCCCAACGATAGTCGTAGCCAATTAGTAATGGTCTTCTGCCATTGTTCGACTTCCATTCGTCCGTTGGCTCTCCACATATGTAAATCATCCAGTTACTACAATAAAATGGCTATTATAATAATGAATTATTAAAAATATTCCCTTGATACCTTTCGGGCAGAAAATATATCTAGACTTGCTTGCATAAACAAGGCGTTTCGGTTGAAAATAACAAATGAAACATTTTGGACGATCACTACAAGTAAGACTAGGTTGGATACCAATCATTTGCATTTCAAATCACATGACTGATTATTAAATGTCTGATTTGGATAAGAATGAAGTGAGGCGATTGACGTTATTTTATACCAGTGGTTTTGTCTTGTCATAGCTATTCTATTACAATACCGATTATTCGTTATTTTGTGCAGCGCGCGCGATCAAAATATTCAAATGACTGCTTTTGGTGCAATACAGCAGAACATTTACGAAGAATAGATTCTGAATTTTTTCTTTTTCACCAAGATGAATCTGGTAGATTATAAAAAACCTGCATTTCCAAGAACATTCATAATTGGCAATGAAAATTAGATGTTTTTAGAAACACGTGTAAAGGCTTAAAAAATGTATATTCCATTAACACTCTTCGTGGGTTACAAGCATTTGATTTTGTATCAGATTATGAATATATATATATATAATTAATTATAAAAAAATATGTCGTAAAGATAAGTTATAAATCACAAATATTATTTATTCGACTTAAGTAATGCTACAAATTGCTAAGTCATTATTTTCTGTCAATTGCGAACATATTAATTACTGTACTCTTGAAGCAGTTTTTAGCATCAGTACTTTGAATATTTACACCAACTTTAAAAATCTTCTTCGTTCTCTTATTCTTCTTCATTCACTGTTCAGAAATAATTCTATATCTGTTAACAAATAAGTTTCGGGTATTTGTCTTTATGTAGTAATTTGTGATGTAGTAAAAATGAACAATGTATTTACTTAGAAGCTTCCTCTTTTAAAACATTAAGCATCCAAAAACAGTCATTATGAAAGTACACTGCGAAAGTCACATAAACGTAAATATTGTACAGGGAATAGTTTAAAAAATCATCAACAAATCCTTAGTGCACTGCGCCAAATAACGTTTTAACCACGACGAAACTTTCCTAAAAAGAGAATATTGTAGATTTTACGAAATTTGAAAATTTAATGATTTCAGAACTGGAATTGTTTTTTCAGTGTGCTGTGAAATCAAATAAACTTGTTTCGTCAGTTTGTTTTGAAACTACGTTTACAGAACTTGTTTATTTATGGTGCTGTGAAATTTTACTTGCAAATAATGGTTGGAGACGGCTTACAAAGTTGTTTCTTTAGGGTTTTGTGAAACTACACTTGTATATTTATGATGCTGTGAAACTACTGACAAACTTCTTTCTTCGCGGATTTATGAAACTTACACTTACAAACTCCTTTCTTCAGGGTGCTGTGAAACTACATTTACAGAACTTGTATATTCATGGTGCTGTAAAAACTAAACACCATGAATATACAAGCTCTGTATTTAAGTATAGTTTTAGTTTTACAGTACCAAAAATAAACATATTATATTAGTGTAGTTTTACAATACCAAAAATAAATGTTTTGTAAATTTAGGTTTAGTTTTTACAGCACCATGAATATACAAGTTCTGTGAATGTAGTTTCACAGCACCCTGAAGAAAGGAGTTTGTAAGTGTAAGTTTCATAAATCCGCGAAGAAAGAAGTTTGTCAGGTAAAAACTAAACCTAAATTTACAAAATATTTATTTTTGGTATTGTAAAACTACACTAATATAATATGTTTATTTTTGGAACTGTAAAACTAAAACTATACTTAAATACAGAACTTGTATATTCATGGTGCTGTAAAAACTAAACTTAAATTTACAAAACATTTATTTTTGGTATTGTAAAACTACACTAATATAATATGTTTATTTTTGGTACTGTAAAACTAAAACTATACTTAAATACTTATTTATTCATAGCACTTTAACTTCACACTTATAAACTTGTTTAATCGTGATACTGTGACACTACATTTACAGAACTTTCTTGTTCTGGGTACTGTAAAACAACACTTACAAATTTTGTATATTTATGTTATTGCAAAGCTAAATTGACAGAGCATGTTTATTCATGATTTTGTAAAACTAAACCTACTCTTACAGAACATTTTCATTCATGATGTTGTAAAACTAAACCTACTCTTACAGAACATTTTCATTCATGATGTAGTAAAACTAAACTTACTCTTACAGAACATTTTCTGTCATGATGTAAATTTAAACCTACTCTTACAGAACTTCATTCATGATGTAAAACTAAGCCTACTCTCACAGAACGTTTTAGTTCAATATGTAAAATTAAACCTACTTTTACACAACATTTTCATTCATGATGTAAAACTAAACCTACTCTTACAGAACATTTTCATTCATGATGTAAATTTAAACCTACTCTTACAGAACATTTTTATTCGTGATGTAAAATTAAACCTACTCTTACAGAACTTCATTCATGGTGTTGTAAAATTAAAGTACTCTTACAGAACATTTTCATTCGTGATGTAAAACTAAACCTACTCTTACAGAATTCCATTCATGGTGTTGTAAAACTACACTTACAAAACAGATTATCCTGACTGTGAGTTTAAACTCAAATATGGAAATGGTACACGCTTTAAGATGTCAAGTAAAACAAAACAGTAAAAGAATCACGCAATGTTCTAGAACTACACTGGTTTATTATACACAGACACACACAATCACACACATCTACATAAATATATTAGAAATTGGTGCAATATATTAATGTTTTTGGTTTACCCGCGTTTAATTTTCATAGATAGACAAACAGATAGATTTTGTTGCTTGGTTGGATAAATTCTTTATAGATTCTTGTTTATATCGAGACTCTTTAGACCGACAAGTAAACCGTTTGATTTTGTTGCTTTCTACAAATGGCTGCAGCTAACTAGAGGGAAAAGTTAGCCACTGACTTAGGACTTCTCATTTAAATACCAAATATAATATTGCATGAACGAACGTCAGATTAGTCAAAGTTGTGTCTAGTGATTGGAAAAGTAACTTTAACCACTCGATAATAATTAATCGTATCCCTG